AACTTAAAACAGCACCTGCCGCTTAGTGGTCTCTCGAGGAATGTGGTCCCTTCCCATCTCTGCCATCACCACCATCACCATCATCTTCATTAGCTCCCTAGAGGGTGAGGGAACGTGCCACAGTCCCACCACCATGTGGTTCAGGTCGGCCTTGCTCAGCAAGTGAGTGAGACACCACACACACTCACCCATCTCTGCCTTCTCGGCAAAGGCACACCTCCTAGAAATAACCATCGATTAGAAACCATCAAATTTCTAATAACCTAGAAAACAATCATCGAGTTGAATGCATTTGTATTCAAATGTGGCTGTATTTTTATAAGAAACTAACATAGGAGTCTAAAGTTTTTTGAGAGAAGGTGTTATGGCTCTCTAATAGTTACCAAAATTAATTCTCTGGCTTTGCTCAAAGACACGGTTCATGGCATTGCGAAGCCTCCGTTACTCAGTTCCCTGACATTAAGCGACTCCACGTCCTTCCCACACAGACACTAAAGCCCTGCTCCTGGTCTGCACTTGCTGACTCCTCCACATTTTTGCATTTGCTTTTCTTTTCTTTTCTTTTTTTTCTTTTTTTGGCTGTTGGTAACTTCAAACAGAGAAGAGTTTGTATGTTTTTCTGTAGTGTCAGGAAACATAATTTTTGCTTTTGCCCGAGGTGGGGTAGCATTTTAGAATCTGTTTACTCTTGCTTTTGCCGTTGAGCAAGGATGGAGGTGGGAGGGGGTCACTGGCTCAGCACACACTGAAGAATCCTGACTTTTGCAGCAAGCCCCTGTTTTGAGCCTTTGTCCTTGTTGTTGGCTTTAAACAGAAACCATGAACAAAGGTGCTCTTAGAGGAAGGAAAAAGGCACAAAAATAGAGAATTCTTTTCTAAAGCGAAACAGATCATTTGAAGGGCCATGCTGTCCTTGAATTCGGAGGCACTTGATTTTTATGCATCACCAAACAATGTCCCCATGCAGGCGCATTCTGTGATGGGCAGGGTTACTGTGGGTCACTGCAGACAAATGCAGTCTGCAGGCAAAGGGGATTCAGATGTGTCCTCAGCAAAGCGTTTAGTTTGTGTGTGATGGATGAATCCTTCACTGCCTCCAAGTGCTCGGTGCCCAGTCCGAGTGCCCTAAGGCAGCCTCGGAATGATGTTCAAAGTCCACAGGGAGACAGGAAAGTGGGATGGGAGACACAGGGAGTTCATCGGTGTTGGCCTTGACCCAGCTTTTATGGTAGATGGTGAGCTCACAGGTGTTTATCATTTATGCTATGTATACTCTCAGGATCGTGAGACCATCTGGACCGTCCTGAATGGATCAAGGATAGCATTGATTTTTTTTTTCTTTTTTTAATCCCAAGCTATTCTGGAACAACTAAGAACTGCCTATTGGACTCCAGCCTAACCCTGAGGTCTCAAAATTCCAGTACCATAGGAGCTGTCCTTTAATATACTAGGTGTCTTTACCCTGAGGAAAGAGCCTGCCTCCTGGACCAGACAGGAGGCTAGATGATGGGGGAGGGGGGAGTGATAACAGTGATAATAAAGATAACAAACTGGCACTGACATGACTGGTAGTAATAATAGCAAATGCTTCCTCAACACTTCGTTTGCTCCAGGTCCCCTTCTAAATACTTTACGTGTATTAACTCATTTCATCTTCCTGACAGCCCTATGAGATGGGCGCTGCTATTGTTCCCATCTTACAGATAAACAAACCGAGAAGTAGGGTTACTTGTCCAAGGTCATACAGCTCATAAGTGGTAGAGCAGGGGTTTGAACCCAGCTTCTAGTCACCACGTCATGCTGCCCCTGAGAAGCCGGCCACCATCTGCAGCCTCTGTCCGAGCAGATGTATCCTCAGATGCACATAAGACAGTCACTTGACTGCAAGTCTTTGTGGGTCTAGCCTGCCTCTCCCCAAGGAAGCATGGCAGCCACTTCTTCCTGCCCCCCCCCCACCTCCTGCCTGCATCCTCATCTCCACTTTGCCGCATCAGGCATGCCCTTGGCAAAAATCCCTGGCTTCGTTCCTAAGAGTCAGCTGTCTGTTTACCAGGAGGCAGCTTTAATGCAGGTTCCCCAGTCTGGCGAAGCTGCCCAGCTATCTGAGCTCGTGATGAGACAGCCGGTGAGCCTCAACACTCTCAAAACTTGCACGTTCTGGGTGGCCTCGCCACCTCGGTCGGGCATCTCTGTGGCACCACAGAGGCATTTCTCAGTCTTCATGATCTCATTTGAATGGATTTTGTCCAGAAATGGTATCTTACATTATCAGGAAGTTAAATAACCTTTCAACCCGGGCTGGTTTTTTTCTTGGTGCTGGGCTTGATAGCTGTCATTTCAAAACAGACCCCTCAAGCCAACACCCATGTTCTGTATTTCTGTTACAGTTCTGGAGTCACAGAACAGATTTTTATTCTGAAACAGCAAATTCCAGGACCCAGACATGTTTGTTCCTTCAGCAGATGTGTCCCCCCGGAGGCTGCGGAACTGCTGATGAGAGGCGAGGGACAAGCGTTCTCACTGCCTGCCGCCAGCCGTCTGCCTGGCTTCCCAGCGGGGCTCAGCCCCCACGTCCAGACCCCGGGGGCACAGTCAGGGCCACAACAACTGAGCGAGCAAGGCAGATGTGTTCCTCTCTGCTGCTGCAGTTAGAGACCATCCACCTTCAGACCTCGGGTTGACGCAATAGAGCTCTACCCTCCCCTCCCCAAAAAGTCTCATTCACAATAGTTTGTTTATCAAAGTAGCACAGCTTTTGTTGTTTTTGGTTTTTTGGGGTTTTTTTTTTTCCTATCTTAATTCCATGGATCAAAGCAGTTTGGTTCTTACAGAAAATGAGAGACAAGAAATGAGCCATGGGACCTGTGCTGGGTCTGTCCTTGGACCTGCTGGTGCTCTTAGGCCAAAATATCCGACAGCCTCACTGTCTCAGAATTGGTATCCCTTGCCCCCCGCAAAAACAATACTTCCCCCCACGTGGGGCAGGGCCACTGATGGGCTATGACTGTTGGTCGTACTTGAGATGGTTTTAAAAAGTATTAAATTACATGGTAAGAAAGTTATGCCCTTTTCGATTTTCTTTCAATCTAGAAAAAGACTCTGTGAAGCTAGAATATTCTTAACACTCTAGGTCTTGTTAATTTTCCCTTTGTAGTAACTAAGAGCAAGTCTCAGGCAACTGTATCAGCTGGAAGTAAGGAACACTGTTGGGTTGTCATTATATCTATTTTTATGGTTACTTTCTATTCATGGCAGACAATCTTGGTTTTCCATTTGCCATAGTGATCAATTCTGACTGATCGATTTTTAAATGTCACATGTTAAAAAGTCAGTAGATTGGTTTGAGTCCTCAAATGATGCCAGCACTGCCAGTCCTGGGACCGCACTTTGAGAACAACTGCCCGATGCATTGGCATGGCTTCACATTATACTCAACTGGGAGGCTTACTAGCTGCTAATGGCCGGGCCTCGGCCCCGACCAGCTGAATCAGACTCTTGGGGTGGGGGCTGAGGGCTGGAGCACACATCAGTCAGTACTCACTAAAACATCTGGGTGTTTCTGGTGCATGGCGGAGGTGGGGACGCACTGCCCCAGGGTACCCAGTCCCAGCAGCATCAATGGGAGGCAGCGTCTGACTCCACATTGCCACTGCATTTTCCCTTCTTTATCTCTCCTGCCTCTAGCCCTTTTTCTCATCCACTTCCTCACTCATTTGCTCTTCTTTCTCTCTCCCAGCTTCCCACTCCTGCTCCTGCAAGTGACACCCTCCGACACTGTTGCTTAGTCTAAGGCATTGCTGGCACCGTGCAGTTGCAACCACATCAGAAAAGTTCCACACTGTATTGTTCTCTCTGGCATTTGCTTGCCAGTTCATAAGCTGTCGGTCCAGTTTCTGCCCATCCCTTCGGGTTGTGTTCTCTGCCAGGAACTTGTATCAACAACAATGATCATAATCATTACCAGCTCTTATGTGTGCCTATCCCCCTGTTCCAAGCACTTTGTATGTATGGACCTATACAACCAGAATCCAAACGCAGGCAGCCTGGCCCCAGAGCCCACATTCTGAGCAGATGGGACCCCAAGTGTATTGCCCCTCATCCTGATTTCCGGCATGCTGCTCTCCATGATGTAAGAAATTGAAATTTGGACCCACCGCTTACTTTCATAACATTTGGAATTGATAACTTCTTTAAATTTTCAGCTTAAACGATAATGTCTCTGTAGGAAGCCCACAGCTTTAAATCCCGTTGAGAATTGAACTCATTGTCATTCAGAAGGGATCTGCCTCCAGTGATTTTGTGTGTGCTGGCTGTTAGCACTATAAATCAAAGACGATAAAGCTGCACCCACAATTTCCTGCAACCAGCAGAGCTCCTGGCAGCCTTGATGATCCTCATGCACTTATCTGGGATGTAGCCTTGGTGTTAGACATTTGGGGCTTTTTCTGCCTTTGGAAAGAACCTGATTCTCATCCCAGTGCTTAACTGGAGAGAGGCCTTTGGTTCATTTCCCTTCCTTGTGGGGAGCTTTATTCTTATACTCACATTTTTAATCTATGGTGGTACTTGGGTGGCTGTTTTAGGAGACAAGTCCTTCTGCATTGCATTAAAAACCTTCTGCCTGAGTTTAGGGGAATTCTCAGGCAGCCAGGTCCCCAGAGACCACCTCCCTCATTGAAGATTTTGGAATTGTGGGTAGTGGGGAAGAGTCCCAAACACTGTGCCCTGGGCAGAGTGGGCACTCACACCATGGAATCTCTTTTTCCTTCCTCCAGTCTCCAAGCACAGAGTACATGATTTCACTCAATTCTCCCAGCAGCCCGATACCACTAGAAACAGGCCCTTGTTCATTTTTCTAGATGCTGGGGGTCAGAGGCTTTCGGTCCTCTCCCCTTAAACACCGTGTTGATGTGTTTTTCATTCAGCTTGGTGCTGACACTGGGCAACATGGGTCAGTTCTCTTTTTTGTAACATTTAACCTTTCTTCCTTCTCTTCACAGTGCAAGATGCAAAAAATCTAATCCCCATGGATCCAAATGGACTTTCAGACCCTTATGTGAAGCTGAAACTTATTCCCGACCCCAAGAATGAGAGCAAACAAAAAACTAAAACCATCCGCTCCACACTAAACCCCCAGTGGAATGAGTCCTTCACCTTGTAAGTTTTGTCTTCTCTTCTGGATTAAGTGCCCTCCCTCCCCACCACAAAACGGCCTGCCTCATTGTTAGCGATATTGAGGTGGGCTTGTTATAAACGTCTCTAAACACCACTTCATTCCTAAGACTTTCTCAGCCTCCTACTAGGGAGACAGCTGCTGCCTCTCCTGACTGATGGGCAGCAACTTGGTTTACCAAGAATTACATGATGCCGGCCCGAAATTATTATCAACATCTACTCTGCACAAAAAAATTCTCTTACATTACAGATGATGTAAAAACACCTCTTGCTGAACTTAGGATCTTTTGAGGGTTAGGGGATGATGTAAGGTAAGAGTTTGAATAATAATTTTTAAAACATGGAATAAGTGAGTAACATATTCCAGACACTGCTGTTGCCACTGACATGTGAAGATCATCCTTACCTTTAAGCAGGGAAGACTTCTCGGAGGAGGTAGCATTTAAAGTGGGCCTTGGAGAGATACAGGATTTCAGAGAGAGAGATGATAGCAGGGAAAGAAGGAAGAGGGTACTGTGAGGAAGGAATGGCGTACGTAAGTCAGGGGTGAGAAGGTGCTGACTGCAGCTGAGCACGACCAAGTGGTCGTCTTCATAGCCTGGAGCGCAGGGAGCCGTTTACCTGTGGGCGGCCAGGAAAGGAGCTCTTGACCATGTGGAATTGAGGCCAGTAAGCCTTGCTCTGTAAAGGGCCAGATAGTAAATATTTCAGACTTTACAGGCATACAGTCTCTGTTACAGGTACACAATTCTGCTATTCTGGAGTCAAAGCAGCTATAGACAATATGTAAACAAGTAGCAATGGCTGTGTTCCCAGAAAACTTTATTTACAAAAACAAGCAGTGGGCCAGATTTGGGCCATGGGTCAAGGTTTGCTAACCCCTAGTCTAGAGCATTGGTTGCCAGGAGGCTGGTATTTTGTTGGCAGTGGGGAATCACAGGAAGAGAACAGAATATACTTTTTATTTTTTAATGTCAGGCTCAGATTATAAGCAAGGGGCATCTGCCAGGAAACCATGATCAAGATAACTGTGTGTGTTTGTTTGTAGCAAATTAAAACCTTCAGATAAAGACCGACGACTGTCCATAGAAATCTGGGACTGGGATCGGACAACAAGGAACGACTTCATGGGATCCCTTTCCTTTGGCGTTTCAGAGCTGATGAAGATGCCAGCTTGTGGATGGTAAGGAAGCCCGAGACTATGATGTCTGTCAACCAAGGGCTAGTAGTCTCAGAACATTAGAGCACCGAGAGGTTTGGAAACAAACTGGTTTAAGTCTAAAATGACCATTGAATATGTAGTTATCTGGCTGTCGTCTCCCCATGGGACACATTTCAGAAACAATGGGTCTGGGGGCTGAAGGAAAAGGGTGGCTGAGCCCAGGGCCTTGACTCTCCTCTCCTCTGTCTCTGAAAGGTACAAGCTGCTCAACCAAGAAGAAGGTGAGTACTACAATGTACCCATTCCAGAAGGGGATGAAGAAGGAAACATGGAGCTCAGGCAGAAATTCGAGGTAAGGATATCCACAAAATCACTGGGGCCCCTTTCCTTGAGAAATCTTAACCTCAGCAGAGCCAGACTTTTGAGGTCACCCTGCTGATTGGAAAAAAGTAATTTCAGTATTGATCTTTTTCTTTGTTGAAAACCAAAAATGTTACCTAATTACCTTCCTTTGCAAGTTGTTGACATTCTGTCTCTATTCTCATTTAGAGAATGGAAACGTCCCAGAAAAGGATATGGTTGATTTCTGCATAAGAAATTGGTTTGCACATCTTGGGGAGCTGGGCAGGGTTCTGAGTGCAGTCCTCTCATTGGAAGGAAGGGCTCTGCTCCTCCAAATGTCAGGAGGTCGTTTTGGCCTTAACGTCGGAGTCCGTGTGGGTGTAATTGATTTGCTGTGCCAGCATCTTAATCTTTGCTCTAGAGCTTTCGAAAAGACCAGCTCTTCCTTTTCTTCCCACTGGTATCGGAGTTGGCCTTCTGTCCCAGGTTCATTCGTCTTCATTCCCTCCCTTTTTCTGCTCTCCCTCTCTCCCCCTCATTTCTCTCTTTTTTCTCCCCTCTACCCCTACTTCTCTGTTTACCAAACCTCTTAGCTTTTAATGGGCATTCTTTTCTCTGAGCACCTGCCTTCAGTTCCAGATCACAACTTTCCATTTTGTTCTGTTTCTCTAATCACCTGCATTTTCGCTTTTTGCAGGAACACATAACAGCCAGTTCTGTCTATGGAACTGCTCAATCCCTTTTTTTTTAATTAGTTAATTCATTTTTCCAAATGCATTTGTCTCTGCCTTCCCCCCACCACTTTCCCTTGCCCCCTCCCCCCTCTCCCTCCCTCAGCTCTTCCCCTTTGGTTTTGTCCATGAGTCCTTGCTATATGTTCCTTGACTTGCCCCTTCCCTTCCTTTTCCCCTTCCCACCCCTCCTTCCTTCCCTCTTGTCTCTGTTGGTTTCTTTTCCTTTCAGTGTTGCTGGTCTTATTTTCCTTGCATCTTTGTATTATTGATTAGGTTCCGCTTATAGGTGAGATCATATGGTATTTGTCTTTCGCCCCCTGGCTTATTTCGCTTAGCATGATGCTCTCCAGTTCCATCCATGCTGTTGCGAAGTTTGGTAGGTTTTTTTTTCTTTCTGCTGCGTAGTATTCCATTGTGTAAATGTACCATAATTTTTTGATCCATTCATCTACTGATGGGGATTTAGGTTGCTTCCAACACTTGGCTATTGTAAATTGTGCTGCTACGAACATTGAGGTGCATAGGTTCTTTTGAATTGGCATTTTGGGATTCTTAGGGTATAGTCCCAGCAGGGGAAACCCTGGATCAAAATGCAGTTCCATTTTCAGCTTTTTGAGGAAATTCCACATGCTTTCCACAATGGCTGCACCAGTCTGCATTCCCACCAACAGTGTACTAGGGTTCCCTTTTCTCCACAGCCTCGCCAGCACCTGTTGTTTGTTGATCTGTTTATGATGGCCATTCTGACCCGTGTGAGGTGGTATCTCATCGTGGTTTTGATCTGCATTTCTCTGATGGCTAGTGATCCCGAGCATCCTTTCATATGTCTCTGGGCCCTCTGTATCTCTTCCTTGGAAAAACGTCTGCCCAGGTCCTTTGCCCATTTTTTGTCAATCCCTTTTTGAGTCATTCTCTTCCTCAGGCTGTTTAGGAGTCCCTGAAATCCCCCACTGTAATGAAATACGTACACCAGCCGGTGGCTACTGAATGGGGATTGAAATACCGACCCAAAGGGGATGCTGGTCTTGTTTTCCTCCTTCTATTGTTTCCTTCTCCCAAATAAAATTTTGTCCCAAAAAACATAGAGGTCATATCCAGACAGAAGGAATTCCAAAGGAGGTAAAACATAAAAATATTCAGTGTTTTGTTATAGTGATACTTGGTTAAAGTGACAGCAAATACTTGAGGCCTGGGGCTGTGAGCCTAGATGCCCTCAGGAGCATAAATGGGTGAAATGAGCCACAGATAATATACATAAATGGCAGCTAATAGCCGGCCTCAGGACTAATGAGACAATAGGGAGCGGCGGGAGACAGGGGTGAGCTGGGGAATTTAGGCATTGTCTGAAGGTGGCAGCCACCGCTACTCGGCACCAAGGATTACTGCCGGGCACAGATGAAGGCCCGCTGCCGCCAGAACTTCTGGTTCTGCAAGAGAAGCCAAAAAACCCACATTTTTATATGATGTGTTCTGATTTCTTTCAATATTAGCAGCTAAGTAAAACTTAAACTCTGAGTAGGTCAAACACACAGCTGTTGCTTTAAGCACAGGTAGGATTCAGCCAGTGGGAACGAGCTTACAGTCTCTGCTCTTAAAATATATAGGAGAAGCCTTGGCCCATATAGCTCAGTTGGTTGGGCGAAAGGTTGCTGGTTCGATTCCCAGTCAGGGCACATGCCTAAGTTGCGGGTTTGGTCCCCATCAGGGTGCATGCAAGAGGCAATCAGTTGATGTTTCTCTCTCACACAGATGTTTCTCTCCCTTTCTTCCTCCCTCCCTCCCCCTTTCTCTAAAAGTAAATAAACAAAATCTTTCAAAAATAGAGGGAAAAAGAAGTAGAAACATATAATATGTTCTTCCCAAAGAAGCCTGATAACAGTTAGAGGCATACGAGGATGAAAGTCAGGTTTGGGACAGCTTCAGGTACCTACGCCAGGCATAGCCCTTTCCTGTTTGCTTTCTTCTTCTACTTGTTTGATTACCTACTGCCACCTCCTCCCCACAGCTGAGGACAGGAGCCCCACCCCCAATGTCACACCACCCCTAGTGGCACCCCTAAAAGAGACTCTCTGTCTCTTCCACAGAGAGTTTGGGGACACTGGGTGCCAGCATCACTCAGGTGCCCCAGTCAGTGGAAAGGCCTGAGGAGCTAAAAAGAGCCTTGCCAAATGCCGTGCCGCAGCATGGCCATTGGCAGTCACAGGGTCAGGGACCTCAGGACATAACACATTTGAGGTAGGGACAGTGTTGGGGCATCATCGGAGACTTCGCTTTGCTGATGGAGAAGTACCAGCCTACCTTTAATGTTGCATTTCCATGGCTCCCTGGTGAGCAACCTTCCTGTTTTTCTGGGCAATGAGCCCAGCTTTTTATAAAGGTCAGAGTTCCCAACTCCAAACATAAATAAATAAATAAAACAGGAAACAGGCCAGAGGGCCTGAGGCCAGAAGTGCAGCGTTTCTCTCCAGAGGCCAGCTGGCGGCCGTGTGTGTCCTGCCGGTTACTGTCCTCCCTCCTGGGAGCGCCGGGCACGTTGCCCAAGGGTGAGTCTCATCAGTCGGGACAGGTTGTGTCCGCTGAGTCCCCTGGGGGTGCTGGGAGGGCAGGCGTCTGCTGCCCTGTCGCTGGTTTCTGTGCTCAGAGCACTCACGTGAACTTACTGTCCAGCTTTTTCTTTACACATCTTTCAGCTCGGACTCCCTAGATGTCACTGGGATTTGATTAGCTCATTTACTTAAGAGCATTCATAGAACCCACTGCAAGAGACCAAGCAGGAAGCCGTAGATGATGGTGTCAAAAAGATGCCCAAAGTTTTATGAGAACTGTCTTACTGCATTTTAGGTGGAATATTGAGATTGGATTTTAGGCAGGGGGTTAATCATACAGCAGCTTCCTGTTGAGGTTTATAAATGTCACAGTTGCATATTTCCCAGAGCTAAACTGTTAGGATGCAGCTCACTGCCATGGGCCAAGACAGGAAGGTTATGTGGGCATCTGAGCAGTTCTGGGTGACAGCTACCCTTCCAAATGGGGTGCCATTAGGCATCAGGGTGCAATGTGGGGGGACTTCCTTTTACTCCCACCTTGTTCCCTCCCTCTCAGTTCCCAGGCACAGTGCTATCTGTGGCCTCCCCTCTGTGTACCATTCTCTCCAGAGAATTTCCGCTCTGACTTGCTTTCCATCACACTAGACCTTTCCCCCCACCCACTCTTTTACAGATACTTTCCCACCCTCTGCTAACAATTTGATTCAGCTAAATACAATTTTTTTAAATTTAAAGGTCAGTGGTGAATCACAATTGGATGAAACACAACCCATTGGCTGGTCCTTTTAGGAACAGGGCTCACTCGGCGAGTTTGGTCAATAACTAGTCTCTAGGGTTATTCTTTCCACATGCAGCTCTGTTTTCTAGAAAGAGCTCACTAAATGTGGTTTTCAAACCTTTCCCCAGAAATCAAAAGTCATTCAGTCTGATGAAAGAAAAACATAAAAATAAAACACCCGAGCACTCATAACTCTGCCACTGTGTTAGTATTCATCTGACAATAAAGTGGAAAAAATGTCAAATTTATTGTTGATTGGAAAATCTTGGCCAACAGAATGCATAGTGAGTGAAGCTCTTCGGAGCCAAGAAAGGGCCTGGGTGGTTGGAAACGACCTTGCTCTGTAATGCATTGTCCCACTAGAGCAGTTCACCTCCCTAAGAGACAAAACAAACCAGAACCTTGGCCGCCATCTCCATGGACAGTGTGTCTGTGGTCTTTTAACCTGTTCCATGTTTGTCTTTAAATAAAGTACAAGTGGTCCCTGAGTCACAAACATAAAATACACATTTGTTCACTTGTTCGCTAATGTCCCATAAATAAATAAAGTCAACAGTCCCTCCTGCGTAGGGGGTAGCTGTGGGCCCTGCTTCAAGTCTTTTGGGAAGTGGCGCAGGAAGCTGCTGAGACGTATGTGAGATCACCCCTGTGCAGCACAGTCCCCGGACCTCCCATCGCGGGTGTGGGCATCGGGGCTGCTGTCCTTCCGCTGCTGGCAACAGGGCACACGGCCAGGGTAAGAGAGGGTTCTGGCTTCCCCAAGGACGGCCAGGGGACGGGTTAGCCCTTGCTCAGCAAACTTTCTGTAAAAGGCTCACATAATAAATATTTTAGGCTTTGCAGACCTGAGGTTTAAGGTAATTAGGAATTAGGAATCTCGTTGCAGCTACTCAACTCTGCCTTTATAGCATGAAAGCAACCACAGGCAATATGTAAACAAATGGATGAGGCT